TGGTTGCGGCAATATGTTAATGATTTGAATCGCTGATTATAAATAATGACTAAGAAACTGTGACAATTCCTAAGGGTATAGTACAGGAGCAAAGATAGAGAACACCCTGATGTAGACTTCTAAAAAAAGCAAGACTTCTCTGGATTGCTGGATACTAATGTCCACATGATCTGCATATCATATATCAGAGCCATGCACTACCTTTGGCTGCCCTCTGCTGCAGGAAAACAAAATTGCAAATTACTTACAGTATATGTGCAACAAAACATACATTTTTTGTAACAATTGTAACATCTATTTTTGGTTTCACAGAATGTGGTACTGGTGTTTTTAGAACCCTGTCCTAAATGAGGAGCCCACAGCAAGGTTAAAAACCACATTAGAAGCCTGAAGTACAATTTATTTTAAATTCTAACATTAAATTAAAGACACAGATCGTGATTAAAAACAAACAAAACAAGTATTGGAAAGATACTGCATTGAGCACTATTGCTTCTGAACATGTACATTGAATAATGTACCTGTAAATTCAACATCTATAAACCTTGAGTCATTTTGACAAGCTGAACTCCTGTGTGAAAACTTAAATCCTATCAAACACGAGGGATGTCCTCTGGATTAGGACAAAATGATCTCTTGTCTTTCCATGGGTCAGTTCCTTTCAAGAGTCCATTTAAATCTACCTGTGCCAAAAATGGGATGTCATATTTACAATATCACACAAGTGCAATGTTACATTGGGAGTACTTTAGCCGTAATAAGTCATGTTTTACAGCAGACAGCACAGGAAAATCCCCTTAGAAGCGCTACTTCAAGTTTGGTCTCCAGTGTTTTGATATGCAAAATGACAGTTTTTTCCAATTTAGGTTAACTAATAATGATTTCTATTTTGCATGCGACTGTTAAAATGGCATAAACCGCACATTTCTTTATTCAAATGAAGATAATAAGATTACCCTCAAAGCCATTTTTTCTGGCCACTATACATTACTGAGCTCGTGTCAGCGGGAATTTCCAAGTGTAACCAGCATGAGAACGCAATTTGCATTCTCCTGACCTTTGACATTTGAATAAAAATGCATAAAAATGCTTGAGAGGCTCAAACAACTAGAATCCGGGACTGGGGCCAACTGGCTTGGGAGTAATGGGCTTGCAGCAATCCCCCATCAGGCTGTGGGTGAGCCGACAGATCCTGCAGCTTTCATATCTGTTTCAACAGGGTTATTTATTATTAAGAAGATTATTCATTAATTTCCTTGAAGTCCAGCAAGTATCTTCATGGTTTAGGGCATTTATTCAAAGCTGTAGAAATGGAAACTCAGTCTGAAGTTTAATCATCAGCATCTCTGATATCTTAAGATGTGT